CCCCCCCAAAAAAAACACTTCAATTCGCTTTAAACTATTGTCATTATAGTGCGTATTAAATGTGGCGCTGCACTCTGATGTTGTAGGAGAAAACATTTATCAAAAAGTCTATTTAATTAAGTAGAGCGTGTTGTCTATATTTATTTAAAGTTGCGCATTTTGATGTGACGTCACATTTCTCAACCCCCCCCCCCCTCGTCACACATCGTCACGAATGTCTGACCCCCCCCTGCCCCTAGGTGCGTGACGTCATTTATGGACGGCCCCCATAATGCACGTTTATTCGCCAAGCACAGAAACTGGTTTCACTAAATATTTCCCACGTCTCGCTGCACCGGATTTTGTCCCGGCCCAATGATTAAAACTCGGCTCAACGTGTACGGACACGCACGCGTATACACGCGCACAAAGACAAAGATCCCCCGTGTAGCCTTGACAGACTGTTGGGGCAAGTGCTGTCCGCGAGCAGTACCTATTAATGACGGCACGGCACACCGTGCCGTGCCACCTTTGTCTCCCCAATGCTCGTGTCTTCACACCATTCAGGGTACTCGTGTAAGGTACGAGCCCACCTAAGCGAGGTCCAGGATCCGTTAAAATATTCGCCACACTCACACGGCAAGACACACGCACACAGATACCAAGACACGGGCAAAGACAAAGATCCCCCGTATAGCCTCAACAGACTGTTGGGGCAAGTGCTGTGAGCGCGTAGCACCTATGATACGGGCAGACACACACACACACCGGGCAGACACACACACACACCGGGCAGACACACACACACCGGGCAGACACACACACACATGCCGGAACACACAGAGGCCGTATATATATCCCACTCAACACACGCACTTAACACACACACACGCACAGGCATATAAAAAGGCTTTAAAAGAGCCGCCGTGTGTTTAAACTGCGCTTTACACCACCACCACCGCCACCCACGGCAGAGATTGTGGGTGGCGTGACGTTAGCGATGCACATGGGGGGTGGAGGGGGTGAGAGAGGAAGCCACGATTTGAATGCGTCAGTCAAAACGATCTCCATTCACTCTCACTCAACTCTGCTGAACGGACGCCGAAGACAAAGATCCCCCGTGTAGCCTTAACAGACTGTAGGGGCAAGTGCTGTTTGCGTGCACCTATAAAGGCCGGCACGGCACACGAGGGGGTGGGTGGCCAACACCACGCCCGGCCGCCTTTGTCTCCCCAGTGGCGATGTTTACACGTCGCACCAGGTACTCATTTGAGGCTGAGTCGACCTAGGGGAGGCCCAGAACCCGGTTCAGATAATCGTCACCGGTGTTGGCCGTGAGCGGGAATCGAACTCGGGTCGCCGGGTTCGTAGCGCAGCGTGGCGCTAACCGCTGCACTACCGCTCCCCACACACACGCGGACACCACCACGCACACACGCGGACACCACCACACACACACACGCGGACACCACCACGCACACACATAGCCCAAGAGGCAAACAGCTGGGCTGTCTGGCATGAGAGTCGGGTTCCGTTAATGAGCAGAACGGCTTCAAAGCGACCATCACGACACCGCCAGAGTCCGCCAATGTCACTGCATCCTTGGGGGGGGGGGGGCGGGGGGGGGGCACGCTGCATGCACTTCGACTGTTCGTGAGAGTGAACTTAAAAGTGTTTGGTCGTCTGTGTGCGTGTTTGTTCTCATTTATGTATCTTCTTTATGTATCTTCAAAATAAATGTGTGCGTGTGCCAACCTGGGCCACACACAGCCCCGATGCTGCGTAGCAGCTACGAGAGAGAAGGGCCAGTTTCTCCGAGTTGTCTTCCTGTAATAGTGACGTTAGCCACTCTTTCACGAGTTGAATTCTGTCCACTGCTGGATGAAGGCCGTCTGTCAATCCACCGCTGGATCAAGGCCTCCCCACGCCGCGTCGGTCACGGGGGTGATTAGACCGCACTTTGTTGATGCCAAGTCTGCGTGCGCTTTCTGTCTTTTTTGAGCGGCTCATAAAAATAAGTAATATTTAAAAAAATACTTTTTTTAACACGCTTTAATGAAATGTACCGTACTCGTAATGGCAGAACTCCACGACTCCAGGAAGTGGCCCCGAAGCTTGCCACAACCGTAATGGGCCGTGGTGATTTACAGCCAACGTCAGTTGAGCGTGGACAATTAGACCCAAGACGAAACATAACATAACAAAAGTAATGTTTATAAATATATATTTTGAATTTTTAATGATAGAATACAGCATTGTCATCAGTATGACATAAGTATACCAAGTTTGCAGTCGATACCACATTGGGAAGTGGGTAAAAATTTAGTTACAAGCTTTGAGGATACGACAACAGAGTGAGTTAATAGAAAGCGTGTAATTACATAAAAATAAAGGGTTATACTATTGGCCATGCTTCAACCGCGGTGTTCAGTGAGGTTTGCCCAGCGGTAGGGAGGGGAACGGGACCGGTTAAAGCGGCGCTGATCTTAGCCGTCGCCAGGAATCAAACTCAGGTCACTGGGTTCATGTCACCGCTCTTCCCAATCACTTTCACACCAGGATACATTTCATCGATTCGTGCCAACGTCTATCCTATAGATTCACATCGCTATGCATGCTATTAAGTCTGACCACTATAGACTCGGCAGACTCACACCACTTTACACGATATATTTAAACCACTATTAGATGCGTACCACCATTGGCGATGTAGATTCAAACCACTACATACTATAGATTCACGTTACTGTAGACTCGATACAGATTAACGGGACTATATAGCCTATGCATTCACACCACGGTACACTTTAAGAGACATAGGGGCACGACAAAACGACAGCTTTACACCACCGTAGAGTCTGTAACTTCACGCCACAAACGACGGTCGAAATTTCGTGGCCCGCGATAGATTCACCAGATTTGAAGCGCCACATTCCACGCAAACTATACATTTTTGAATCGTGTCCATATCGTCACGTTGTGGAGACGAGACAGAAACATTGTTATTGAACAAAAACTATAAACAATAAACTATTTACATTTTTCCAGGTAAGGCCCACTGAGCTATGTAGCTCTTTTCCAGAAGTGACCTGACCACAAATGATAGCTCAACGAAGTGGCTTATCACGTGGACATTTTAAAACAGTCAAACACTCTAAAGGCATGTTAATTCTAAATGTGGAGGGAAGCACCGGAGGACCTGGAAAAGAAAACCCACGTGACCATAGGGAAAGAGAGAGAACACGCAAACTCCAAATATACAGGCACCAGGGTTGGGATCGAACCCACGACCCCTGTACACCAGGCGATGTAGTCAACATCTCACCACCGTGGCGCCCTTCAATTGCATCCTTAACTTCCACCCCCGAGCGGGAGCCACGCGCGTCTCATCATCACCCAGAGCCTAATCCCAGCTCTCCGTGCCTGGCGCGAGTTTGGAATTCCCTAGGCAGGGGCTCGCTCGCTCACTCGCTTGGCTGGCTGCTCGCTGATGTCACGGCATCCGTCTGAAGCCACGCTCGGCCCATATGTGGCCAGGAGAACGCACGGCCGCGTACACCACTCTCGCTTACCTGACCTGTCGTCAGTCCATCGGATGCGCTTCTGTGGCCGTCTGGAAAGCTCTTCCTTTCCGATATTAAGGAAGCCACTGGAGCTATGCACTTTTAAATCAGGATTGAAAACTCAATATCTTTCAAACTGCTTTTCATGTTCAGTTTGTTATCATTCCCCTGCACCTCCGATTAGCACGGTTGGCTACTTACGGCGCAAAATAAGTTCAACATACACACGTGCCGTTCGTTTAACCGTACAAAACCCATCGGGACAACACGCGAGGGCACGCTGAGCACGGGCAATGCGCCTCCTTCCCCATGTTTGTCTCTCCACGTGAAAACCATTTTTTTTCAAAACCTGTAACACGACTCACTGGCCACGCTGCCTTCTGCCTTCTGGGAAGTGCATTTGTTTTCCTTAAGCAGGCATTGGTTAAAGAGAAGCAAAACTCTGCACCGGTTTTGACGTAAACCCCACATTGGGTTATGAGACGACAACAAAGAACAACCAAAAAGGGATGGAATTGACTATATAAAAAAAAGAATGGGCCTCCTAACGTTTCAGGCGATGACCCTAAATGGGGGGTTAGACAGGTTTCTGCGCGTCTAGGCGTTTCGCCACGGGCTCACGAGCGCGCGCGCGAGAAGACCTTTCCGGCTCACGGGGGACCAAGGCTGACAAGGAAGCCAGGGGGAGGGCGAGACAGAGAGAGCAGCGAGAGAGAGAGAGAGAGCTTTTGCTTCTGTGCCAGCTCCACTCGGCAAATCTCCGCTTTGGGGTTGCACCCCCGGAGACTTGAAAATGGCTGCTCTAACAGCCTATCATTTTTCACACCGTGGATGCCTGCGCCTCACTCATTTCACTGCACCTCCTCCTCCTCCTCCACCTCCTCCTCCTCCTCCCACACAATGGCAAGCCCGAGCCTCAAAGATACTCTCGCCCCCATCCCAAACACCCACCAGCACCACCCTCCTCCTCCTCCTCCTCCACCCCCCCTCCTCCACCGTCTAGAGCCACTCCAACACATCCCCTCCTACTCCCCCCCACCAACCACCACAACGCTCACACCCCTCGCTCAAGCGGACACTTCCTCTGCCAGAACAAATCCGCAAACCCGCACGCCGCCTTCCCCTCCGTGCCCGAAACCCCCACCCATCTCAGCCATCCTCCCTCCTCTTCCACAAAAACACCAAACAAGACAAATCACTCCAGAGATTTAAAAACTCCCGAGTCTCTGGCTCGCTCTCTCTCTCTCCTCGCCCAGCGAGCAGCGGCCAATCGCCGTCAACTGGGAGAGAACTCGCAACAGAGCGCCGATTCAGTTAACTAGGGCAACCCCATCAATCAAGCAGCCCATCAATCAAGCAATCAAGCAGCACATAAAATCAATAAACCGATTCACGTGACGACAGACAAGACCGAAACGACACGGCGATTTTTGGCGCGCTCGCTCGTCCATTCCATACCTTTTCGGTTTTAATCCGTTTGGATGCTGGCGAAGACGCTCCTCCTCCACCACCACCACCACCGGCCACGTCCTTCACCTCCCGTCTCCCCTCCATGGCCCTGGGCCCCACGGCCCCTCCTCCGGCGGTGGCCTCGCTCACGCAATTAGGGCCCGCGCAGTCCTTCTTAGCATCGGCCGTGCCTTGGAACACAAAGTGAAAGGGGCTTCCCTTGACACTTAATCCAAAGGGGCCCAGACCGCCAGGGAATCCTCCGGCGGCCCCGGGACCCTTCTGGCCCAGGGCGGCGGGGCCGTGCTTCTTGCCATCCTTCTTGCCCTTGACGGAGCAGGCCCCGGGCTGGTGGTCCCTCCCGCTCTTCTTGGAGCCGCTGCGGCTCTTGGCGGGAGACCGGCTCTCCTCCTTGGCCCGGGCGGAGGCCGGCGAAGCGGCGGCCGCCGCCGTTGCCGCCGCCGCCGAGGCCTGGCCGGAAGCCGCGACCGACGGCGCCTGCGGCCCCGCGGCGGAGGAGGCGCTGGCCGGGGGTGGCCGGGCCGAGGGCCCTCCGTGGCACGGCTCCGGCTTCTCGGCCACCCCGTTGCCGAGCGGCGCCGGCGGCGGCCCTGGGGCCACCAGCACAGGTGGGGACTTTCCGTTCTCCTTGGAGGCCTTGCTCCGTTTGGACTTGCTCTTGCTGCTGCTGCTTCCGCCGCCGCCGGTGGCGGTGCCGGTGGCGCCGGTAGTGCTGTTCGCGGTGGCCCCCATCTCCTTGGGGCTCTGTCCGGAGGCGCTGAACTTTCCGAGGCCGCGCGCCACCGCGGCCACCGGCGTGGCCGTGGAGGCGTTCCCTGCCGCTAACGCCGCCGCCGGGGTGGCCGTGGCCGCCAGCGCTTCGTGCTTGGCCCCGTGAGGCTTGAGCTCCATCTTCTGCCGATCCTTCTCGAGGTCTGCGTCCAGGTCGATGATCAGATCGCCGACGCCGATCTCCCAGTCATCGCCGCTGTCGTACGCGTCCGGGCCGGCGGCGGGGTTAGGCGCCGAGCCGCTCGTCGAAGCGGACATTTCCCGAGGCGGGCCCCAGGGCGCTCCGGCCGACGTCCAGCCCGAGCCGAAAGCGCGGCCGCCAACAACACGGCATCTGCCCTCGCCGACCTCCGAGGGCTGGAACACCCTCCTCCTGCTCCTGCCGCTCACCACCACCGCCGCCGAAGCGGCTATCTCCCCTCCTCCTCCTCCACCTCCTCTCCTTCTCCCTGGTGACGCTCCTCAGCCACCAGCAGCACCACCACCAGTAACACCACTACCAGCAGCAAAGACCACCACCAGCAGCAGCAACAACACCAGCACCAACACCGCCTCTTCCACCTGCCGCTGCCGCTTGCGCGGATCTCTCCTCCGCTGTTCCACCACCACCAATCACCCGCAGTGATAACACTACCACCAGCACGGGCAGCACCACCACCAGCTGCTGCTGTTGTGGTTGCTCCCACTGATCCTTCACCTGGTGTTCCACCACCGCCACCACCGCCGAGCACCAGCAGCAGCAGGAGAAGAAGAAGCTCCAGCACCGACAGCTCCTACGCCGCACTGCCTCGGGGAGTCACGCGGTGTCCGTCTTGCAAGCCAGCGTCAGTCTGCCACGGGACAGCACAAGCGGTTGTGGTGGAGTGACGACGATCGGGGAGGATGGGGGAGGAAAGGGGACGGACACGAAGAGGGATGGGGGTGGTGGGTTGGTGGTGGTGGTTGTTGTTGTTAGTGGTGGTGGTGACGGAGGGGGAGGAGGATGAGAGTGGAGGGAGGAGACGGGGAGGGAGGGAGATGGTGGTCGTGCAGTGAGCAAAGAGTTGGCAGAGAGAAGGAAAACAACGTTTGCCTCGAGTCAGCTGGATCTCGGCCGTGCGTGCGCGAGTGTTTTTGAGTGAGAGTGCGTGCGTGTGCGAGTGTTTTTGAGTGAGAGTGCGTGTGCGAGTGTTTTTGAGTGAGAGTGCGTGCGTGTGCGAGTGTTTTTGAGTGAGAGTGTGTGTGCGTGTGTTTTTGAGTGAGAGTGCGTGCGTGTGCGAGTTTTTTTGAGTGAGAGTGCGTGTGCGAGTGTTTTGAGTGAGAGTGCGTGCGTGTGCGAGTGTTTTTGAGTGAGAGTGCGTGTGCGAGTGTTTTTGAGTGAGAGTGCGTGCGTACGTGCGAGTGTTTTGAGTGAGAGTGCGTGCGTGTGCGAGTGTTTTTAAGTGAGAGTGCGTGCGTGTGCGAGTGTTTTTGAGTGAGAGTGCGTGTGCGAGTGTTTTTGAGTGAGAGTGCGTGAGTGTGCGAGTGTTTTTGAGTGAGAGTGTGTGCGTGTGCGAGTGTTTTTGAGTGAGAGTGCGTGTGCGAGTGTTTTTGAGTGAGAGTGCGTGAGTGTGCGAGTGTTTTTGAGAGAGAGTGTGTGCGTGTGCGAGTGTTTTTGAGTGAGAGTGCGTGCGTGTTTTTGAGTGAGAGTGCGTGCGTGCGTACGTGCGAGTGTTTTTGAGTGAGAGTGTGTGTGAGTGTTTTGAGTGTGTATGGGCAGCAGTAGCGCTACCAATCTGGCGAGCCGAGTTCCATTCCCGCTCTCCAGCCAACATCGGTCACGAATTTCTGAACCGGTCCGGGGCCTCATCTAGGTCGACTATCCGGTGCGGTGTGTATAAACCTCAACGCTAGGGAGACAAAGGTGGCCGGGCGTGGTGTTTGGCTACCCCATCCCCTAATGTGCTGTGCCAGCCTTCCTTCACAGGTGCTCCTCGCTAAGAGCACTTTCCCCAGCAGTGTGTTAAGGCTACACGGGGGATCTTTGTCTGTGTAAGTGAGCGCTGTGCGTGCTTCGGGACACACCATCCCCACGTGGTAACAGCCACCTGGATTCGGGGCTACGTTCCTCACTCGAGATTTCCCTCGAACGCTGCTAAGGCTGGCTTTGAGTATGGATTATCGGCGTAAGGCACTACCAAAAGTGTACAATGTACGCCTATCCATAGTAACTCGATATTATTAATGTACCACAATTTTTTTTTTAAATACAAGGTTATTATTCTTCCATTGTCAATCCATTGCAATGGGTTACAGTCCATCTCACACCTGCACACGGAGCGAATCTATTTGGATAAAAGTTTTGTGGAAATATTGACAGAAGGCTGATAAAAAAAACAAATTTGTACCCATTCCTTGCAAGGTCCTCATCCCAACTTCGTGAGCCAAACAACAAATGTGTACATTACTTCTCCTACTTATTCCGTCAAACAAAAAAACATTCAGGACCACGGTGCTGAACGGAGTTTCAAGTCGGATATACCCAAAGTTGCAACTGACGGTTCGTTAATTTGGTTACAGAGTACAGAATAATTATCAATATGGTGCCACTGTGACAGAGAGCCATTTAGTTCTGTAAAGGAGTGACTCTGTAGTGTTTGTTTCAGATATATAGTAGCACTGATAAGCTTTGCACGACCGGGGTCCGTGAACCCTGTAACCCCGAGTTCGATTCCGGCCCACGGCGAATGTGAGCGGCAAAGTTCTGATACATCTGAACCGGTCCTGCCTTCATCCAGAAGATTAACCGACACCGACAAACGTCAGTACACTCTACAGTACACTCTACAGTACACTCTACAGTACACTCTACAGTACATTCTACAGTACACTCTATAGTACTCTAGAGTACACTCTATAGTACTCTACAGTACACTCTACAGTACGCTCTACAGTACATTCTACAGTACACTTTACAGTACTCTACAGTACACTTTACAGTACACTCTACAGTACTCTACAGTACACTCTACAGTACTCTAAGGTACACTCTACGGTACACTACAGTACACTCTACAGTACACTACAGCACACTCTACAGCACACTCTACAGCACACTCTACAGCACACTCTACAGTACACTCTACAGTACTCTACAGTACACTACAGCACACTCTACAGTACACTCTACAGTACACCACAGCACACTACAGTACACCACAGCACACTGTACAGCACACTGCACAGTACACTGTACTGCGCGGTGCACTGTACAGTGCACCGTGCAGTACGCTGTATAGTGTGCTGTACAGTGTACTGTGCAGTGTGCTGTACAGTACGCTGTGCAGTACACTGTACAGTACACTCTACAGCTCTGTGTCGATCCACTGGTGGCTGAAGAGGCTCGGACGCCACAAATGTCGTGGTGGAGTTGTTACACAACACGTGGCCATACTTCACCATGACTGTCACGCACTAGGGTCCATCCATTGAGTACGTACCCATGGAGGGGGGAGGGGTTCACCCAAATGCGTTCCGCGTCGTGTGGATGGGGGGGGGGGTCTACTGACAATGTACGCATAGGAAACGGGAGGGGGGGGGGTGAAGCCTCGATAATAATTTGTCTACGTTGGCCTTCAACTGCGTTAGTCAGGCGGTGGACTATCCGTTTGCTTAAACACGTCAATATTATTAATCCTTGATCGTTTCTGCGTGGATTAAATATCGGCCGTTCTATAGGATTCGGGGGGGGGGGGTGTGTGTCAGGCGTACCCAGGTGGGGGGGGGGGGTAAAAAGTCCGCGTGCCTACAGGAAGAGGACGAGGGGTCAAGTTCTGACAGATTTGTGCGTGCCTACCCAGTGGATGGGGCCCCTATGCATCATCGGTGAATGTTGCTGGGAGTTTTGAGAGCGGAGTGTCGGCATTACGGAACATCTTACGCGGATTGCCTTAACGCGTTTAAACGTCTCCCCCCCCCCCCCCCTTTGATAGCAAACAAAGTTCGTATTTGAGTATAAAGCGGTATTATAAGTCAAACTTCCACGTGCGGACCTCCAGAGGAGGAGGAGCGGGTTGGGGGGGGATGGAGAGATGAAAAAAAAATCTTCTCTCGTGTGCTGGTGCCGGGGATTATTTACACCGCACGCTTGTCCGGAGACAGTCACTGCAGAGTCGTCATGCAGCAGTGCATCGACCATGGCTCGTGCCGTTGCGGACGGCACGGCGATGTATTTGAAGCGTTGCAAGCTCCTGCAGGTGGGCCGGCACATGGAGCGTGGGAAGCAAGTGGCGTGTTGCCGTGGCGGGTTCACAAGAAGGACAACGTGGCGATGAGAGCTGTGTGGCACGTGACAACCGCAGCGGCCACAGCTCCACAAATCGCCCGCCACCACACATTGTAGCTACACCAAGGGTGTTTACGGTGCGGTGTTGTTGTGTTCCCGAAGGCACAACACACGGGAGACACACAACAAGACGATGGTGGCACACGCGAGCGCACACACACACGCACAAAGAGTTGAACGTTCAACTACTCCGGTACATGATAATAGGGTTTTTCCCCTTTTCTTCTGGCAACAAAACACCACACTGAAACCTTTTACAAGGAATCATGTCTGCATTAACCACAATGCTTGTGGTCAGAATGCAAACAAAAAACATACTCTGACAGTATGTGCATTGTCCTTGAAACTGATTGGTCCACACCAGAGACAGCTTTCTTTTGAGCCTCGTCTCAAACGGTGTTAGACCAGAGGACGCCAAAAGGCGTCACACAGCTCAAAGACAATGCCACTATCAGAGTAATGAGAGCTCGGGGTGAGCATTTACATCACGGGACCTCCTTTGCCAGTTCCAAAATATGATAATATGATTTCCCCTTTTTTTCTGGCAACAACATGTACTCCGGTACACTTACACAAATACAATGCAAGGATGCACAAGAGTGTCGTGTGATGTTAACAGCCGCTGAAACACGAAGCACACGCTGCTCAGGCAGTTCACGCAGTGAAGGATTCACAACGCAGGCATACAAAGACAAAGGCCCCCCGTGTAGCCTGTAACAGACTGTTGGGGCAAGTGCTGTTGGTGAGCACCTATGGAAGTCAGCACTGTGGCACACCAGGGGGTTGGGGTGGCCAGCACCACGCCCGGCCGCCTTTGTCTCCCGAGTGGTGACGTTTTACACACCACACCGCACCAGGTATTAATTTGAGGCCGCGTCGACATAGGGGAGGCCCCAGGACCGGTTCAGATGACCGTGAGCGGGAATGGAACCCGGATCGCTGGGGGTTCGTAACGCAGCGCGCTCACCGCTCCACCACCGCTCCCCCGGCACAACACGCAACACGGCCGGTGACACATTGCCAAAAGGCAACAACAACAACAACATTATGTACGGGCAAAACATCACACCCATCCACAACGTCAATGACACACAACACGCACACTGCGGGACACACGCATGTGCGTGACCAGACGTCACACAATGTCACTACAACAGAACACGAGAGCCCGCACACAAAGCGTGTGACTGCGCTTGCTGAACACAACACGTAAGGCTGTCGTGCCTTGCCGTGCACACAAGACACGCTCACCGACGACATAACAGAACGTGCGCACGCGGTCAACAGCACGACACATTACACAATCGTTAACACAACATCTCATTCACAAGACACACACACAACTCCGCGCCGTCTCAACAGACATGGAAGGCAGCACTGCCTGTGTGTCTGTGTGACTGCCTTTGTGTCTGTGTGCCTGTGCATCTGTCTGGCACAGTAAGGAGCACAGGTGGTGCATCTGCCAGTCATATCAGCCAACCTAGCCTGGCACATCAGTCAACACACAGCTCCTGTGGGTCTGTCGAGTGACCTCCTCCCCGCCAGCAAGCAGAAAAAAAGCCTTCGACACTTCATGTGACGGCCTCAAAGTGCACCTAGCCTGGCACAAGCGCCGTGGTGACGTCACCGCCGTGTGTCTGTCTGTGCGTGTTCTCTCTCTGTCTGTGTCTTTGTCTGTCTGTGTGTCCCATTGTGGGGAGCGGTGGTGTAGCGGTTAGCACGCTGCGCTGTGAACCCGGCGACCCGAGTTCGATTCCTGCTCAGGACCAACATCAGTGGCGGATATCCGAACCCGGTCCTGGGCTTCCCCTAGGTCGACTCAGCCTCAAATGAGAACCCGGTGCGGTGTGTAGTAAACATAGTTACTGGGGAGACAAAGGCGGCCGGGCGTGGTGCTGGCCGCCCACCCCCTCGTGTGCCGTGCAGGCCCTCGAGGATAAGTGCTGCTACTCGCTATCAGCACTTTCCCCAACAGACTGTTAAGGCTACACAGGGGATCTTTGTCTATGTGGTGCCGATGTCATTGTGTCTGTGTGCATGTATGTGCATATATCTACGTCTGTGTTGTCTCCAGGTGTCTATGGATGTGTCTGAATTTCAGTTCGTATGTCTATGTCCTGTGTCTGTCTGTGAGAGTCTACAAGCCGGCTGTAAACGGGTCGGTCAACCACCTCTTACACACATACACATTACACTCTCTCACACTCACACAGACACTGACTCTCTCACAGACACACAGACACTCTCTCACACACACACAGAGACACTCTGACACTCTCTCACACACACACAGAGACACTCTGACACTCTCTCACACACGCACAGAGACACTCTGACACTCACACACACTTAGACACTCTGACACTCTCTCACAGACACACACAGACACTCTGACACTCTCTCACACACACAGACACTCTGACACTCTCACACACACAAAGACACTCTGACACTCTCTCCCACACAGAGACACTCTGACACGCTCTCTCACACACACAGACTCTCTCACACAGACACTCTCTCACACACACACAGACACTCTGACACTCTCTCACACACACAGACACTCTGACACTCTCACACACACAGACACTCTGACACTCTCTCCCACACACACAGAGACACTCTGACACTCTCTCACACACACAGACCCCCTCACACACACAGACACTCTCACACACACAGAGACACTCTGACACTCTCTCACACACACACAGAGAGACTCTGACACTCTCTCACACACACAGACACTCTGACACTCTCTCACACACACACAGAGACTCTGACACTCTCTCACACACACAGACACTCTGACACTCTCTCACACACACACACACACTCTCTCTCACACACACTCTGACACTCTCTCTCACACACACTCTGACACTCTCCCTCACACACACACACAAACACTCTGACACTCACACACACACTGACACTCCCTCACACATACAAAGACACTGACACTCTCACACACACAGACACTCTCTCTCACACACACACAGACACTGACACTCTCTCACGCACACGCAATGTCACCCCGAGGAGACGGGGGAAGGGGTGGGTGGGGGTAAGTGGGGAAGGGGGAGGGGAAGGATCGGGGATCAGCGAGGGGGGTGGGGAGCCGTGGAGGTGAGGGGGGGAGGGAGGTTGGTGGTGGTGGTGGTGGAAAAGGGAACGAGACAGAAACGGGAGGGCAGAGACGGGAGACAGAGACCTATGGCAGAATGCAGGCGAGACGAACTGGGAGAGGAGACGAGAGACGCGGGAAGAGAGACGGAAGACACGAGGAGAGAGACGGGAGACACGGGGAGAGAGACACGGGGAGAGACACGGGGAGAGACGCGGGGAGAGAGACGGAAGAAACGAGGAGAGAGACGGGAGACACGGGGAGAGAGACGGGGAGAGAGACGGGAGACACGGGGAGAGAGACGGGAGACACGGGGAGAGACACGGAGAGAGAGACGGGGAGACACGGGGAGAGACACGGGGAGAGAGAGACGGGAGACACGGGGAGAGACACGGGGAGAGAGAGACGGGAGACACGGGGAGAGAGACGGGGAGAGAGACGTGAGACACGGGAAGAGACACGGGGAGAGAGACGGGAGACACGGGAGACACGGGGAGAGACACGGGGAGAGAGAACCTAACCCGCAATCCCAACCAACCGAGTGTCGCGTAGCCACCACCACCAACCACCACAACAACCGCCACATCAACAACCGCCACATCAACAACCGCCACAACAACCACCGCCACAACAACAACCGCCACAACCACCGTCACCGCCACATCAACAACCGCCACAACAAGAACCGCCACAACAACAACAACGGCCTGTATCCTCCCCCCACTCACCGCCACCAGTGCCCGTCCCAGTCGTGGTTGCCATGCAGTGGTCGCGCTCCGACCGTCTTGATCGCAGCGACAAGAAATAAGAGACACAGACACTTGTGTGTGTACACGTGTGTACGTGTGTTTGTGTGTACACGTGTGTACGTGTGTTTGTGTGTACACGTTAGCGGTTAGCGCTACGCTGCGCTATGAACCTTCGATTCCCGCTCACGGCCAACACCAATGACGATTATCTGAACCGGTCCTGGGCTTCCCCTAGGTCGACTCAGCCTCAAATGAGTACCTGGTGCGGTGTAAATATCGCCACTGGGGAGACAAAGGCGGTCGGGCGTGGTGCTGGCCACCCACCCCCTCGTGTACCGTACCGGCCTTCATAGGTGCTCGCTAACAGCACTTGCCCCTACAGTCTGTTAAGGCTACACGGTGGATCTTTGTCTTTTTTTAGTGTGTGTGTGTACGTGTGTGAGTGTCCGTGTGTAAACAAATACAAGACACACGCAACCCAGACTCTGCCTCTCCGAACTTAACGTCGACAGCAAATTGTCGTCTGATTAACGCAGACACGAACACAACACCACCGCCACTACACACAACAACAACACTACACACACCGCCGCCAACACACACACCACCACCACTACACACACACCACCTCCACTACACACACACCACCGCCACTACACACAACAACACTACACACAACACTACGCACACCACCGCCACTACACACACCACCTCCACTACACACACCACCACGGCTACACACCCCACCTCCACTACACACACCACCACTACACACACCACCACCACCACTACACACACCACCTCCACTACACACACCACCACTACACACCCACCACCTCCACTACACAAACCACCGCCACTACACACACCACCGCCACTACACATACCACCGCCACTACACACACCACCGCCACTACACACACCACCACCACTACACACACCACCACCACTACACACACCACCTCCACTACACACACCACCTCCACTACACACACCACCGCCACTACACACCCACCTCCACTACACACACACCACCTCCACTACACACACACCACCTCCACTACACACAAACCACCTCCACTACACACAAACCACCGCCACTACACACACCACCGCCACTACACACACCACCGCCACTACACACACCACCGCCACTACACACACCACCGCCACTACACACACCACCGCCACTACACACACCACCGCCACTACACACACCACCGCCACTACACACACCACCGCCACTACACACACCACCGCCACTACACACACCACCTCCACTACACACACCACCTCCACTACACACACCACCGCCACTACACACCCACCGCCACTACACACCCACCTCCACTACACACACACCACCTCCACTACACACAAACCACCTCCACTACACAAACCACCGCCACTACACACACCACCGCCACTACACACACCACTACTACACACACACCACCACCACTACACACACCACCACTACACACACCACCGCCACTACACACACCACCGCCACTACACACACCACCACCACTACACACACCACCACCACTACTACACACACAACAACAACAACCACAGCGTGGTGGGGCTGTTTGAACGGAGACAAAGGAACGCTGGAGCAGGGGGACAGTCCCGACAGGCGACGGACAGGCGGCGGACAGGCGTGCGGGTTGACGCACGGAGCGAGAGGACTTACCGCGGACGGCGTGAAGAACGCGGACAGCCGTGGCCAGGCAGCAGGAGCCGAACGAAGAGAGAGACGAGAGAGAGATTGGGGGGGGTGAGGAGCTGTTACGGCGAACCCAACAGACGGCGGCAAGACGGGCAGAGAGACAGAGCCCGACGATGGACAAACGTAGCGGGCGGGGGAGAGACAAAGGCGGAAGGGGGAGACGGCAGAGGAAGAGCTCCCCCAGAGCTCTCCGTCTCTTCGCTGCTTCTCTCTGCTCGCTCGAGCCGAGGGGCGCTGCGCGAGCCGCGGGGGCTGCGAGCGAAACCCGGGGCGGAGCGGCGGGCGGCGGAGCGCGGAGTGGTCGGAGGAGGGAGGCGGTGCGTGCGCGTGTGTGTGTGTTCTTGTGTGTGTGTGTGTGTTCTTGTGTGTGTGTGTGTGTTCTTGTGTGTGTGTGTTCTTGTGTGTGTGTGTTCTTGTGTGTGTGTGTTCTTGTGTGTTCTTGTATGTGTGTTCTTGTGTGTGTGTTCTTGTGTGTGTGTGTTCTTGTGTGTGTGTGTGTTCTTTTGTGTGTGTTCTTGTGTGTGTGTTCTTGTGTGTGTGTTCTTGTGTGTGTGTGTTCTTGTGTGTGTGTGTTCTTGTGTGTGTGTGTGTTCTTGTGTGTGTGTGTTCTTGTGTGTTCGTGTTCTTGTGTGTGTGTGTGTGTTCTTGTGTGTGTGTGTGTTCTTGTGTGTGTGTGTTCTTGTGTGTGTTCTTGTGTGCGTGTTCTTGTGTGTGTGTTCTTGTGTGTGTGTTCTTGTGTGTGTGTTCTTGTGTGTGTGTTCTTGTGTGTTCTTGTGTGTGTGTTCTTGTGTGTGTGTTCGTGTGTGTGTGTGTTCTTGTGTGTGTTCTTGTGTGTGTGTTCTTGTGTGTGTGTTCTTGTGTGTGTGTATTCTTGTGTGTGTGTTCTTGTGTGTGTGTTCTTGTGTGTGTTCTTGTGTGTTCTTGTGTGTGTGTTCTTGTGTGTGTGTGTTCTTGTGTGTGTGTTCTTGTGTGTGTGTGTTCTTGTGTGTGTGTGTGTGTTCTTGTGTGTGTGTTCTTGTGTGTGTGTTCTTGTGTGTGTGTGTTCTTGTGTGTGTGTGTTCTTGTGTGTGTGTTCTTGTGTGTTCTTGTGTGTGTGTGTTCTTGTGTGTGTGTGTTCTTGTGTGTGTGTGTGTTCTTGTGTGTGTGTGTTCTTGTGTGTGTGTTCTTGTGTGTGTGTTCTTGTGTGTGTTTTCTTGTGTGTGTGTGTTCTTGTGTGTGTGTGTGTTCTTGTGTGTGTGTGTGTTCTTGTGTGTGTGTGTTCTTGTGTGTGTGTGTGTCCTTGTGTGTGTGTTCTTGTGTGTGTGTTCTTGTGTGTTCTTGTGTGTTCTTGTGTGTGTGTGTTCTTGTGTGTGTGTTCTTGTGTGTGTTCTTGTGTGTTCTTGTGTGTGTGTTCTTGTGTGTCTTCTTGTGTGTGTGTGTTCTTGTGTGTGTGTTCTTGTGTGTTCGTGTTCTTGTGTGTGTGTGTTCTTGTGTGTGAGTGTTCTTGTGTGTGTGTGTTCTTGTGTGTTCGTGTTCTTGTGTGTGTGTGTGTTCTTGTGTGTGTGTTCTCTTGTGTGTGTGTTCTCTTGTTTGTTCGTGTTCTTGTGTGTGTGTTCTTGTGTGTGTGTGTTCTTGCGTGTGCGTGTTCTTGTGTGTGTGTTCTCTTGTGTGTTCGTGTTCTTGTGTGTGTGTTCTTGTGTGTGTGTTCTTGTGTGTGTGTTCTTGTGTGTGTGTGTGTTCTTGTGTGCGTGTTATTGTGTGTGTGTGTTCTTGTGTGTGTGTGTGTTCTTGTGTGTGTGTTCTCTTGTGTGTTCGTGTTCTTGTGTGTGTGTTCTTGTGTGTGTGGTCTTGTGTGTGTGTTCTTGTGTGTGTGTGTTCTTGTGTGCGTGTTATTGTGTGTGTGGGGAGCGATAGTGTAGCGGTTAGCGCGCTGCGCTATGAACCTGGCGACCCGGGTTCGATTCCCGCTCACGGCCAACACCAGTGACGATTATCTGAACCGGTCCCGGGCCTCCCCTAGGTCGACTCAGCCTCAAATGAGTACCTGGTGCGGTGTGTAAACATTGCCACTAGGGAGACAAAGGCGGTCGGGCGTGGTGCTGGCCACCCACCCCCTCGTGTACCGTTCCGGCCTTCATAGGTGCTCGCTAACAGCACTTGCCCCTACAGTCTGTTAAGGCTATATGGGGGATCTTTGTCTTTGTTTTTTTGTTATTGTGTGTGTGTTCTTGTGTGTGTTATCTTGTTTGTTCGTGTTCTTGTATGTTCGTGGGGAGCAGTGGTGGTGTAGCGGTTAGCGCTGCGCTACGAACCTGGCGACCCGGGTTCGATTGCCGCTCACGGCCATCACCCTGTGACGATTATTGAACCCGGTCATGGGCCTCCCCTAGGTAGACTCAGCCTCAAATGAGTACCTGGTGCGGTGTGTCAACATCGCCACTGGGGAGACAAAGGCGGCCGGGCATGGTTTTGGCCAGCCAACCCCTCGTGTGCCGTGCTGGCCTTCATAGATGCTCGCTAACAGCACTTGCCCCAACAGTGTATTCAGGCTACACGGGGGATCTTTGTCTCTGTGTATTGGATGGGGAGCGGTGGTGTCGACGGTTCGCGCTCCGCTGAGCTGCGAACCCGGCGTTTCCCGGGTTCGACGATTCGCGCTCACGGCCATCACCCTGTGACGATCATCTGAACCGGTCTGCGGCCTCCCCTAGGTCGACTCAGCCTGAAATGAGTACCTGGTGCGGTGTGTAAAAACATCGCTACTAGGGAGACAAAGGCGGCCGGGCGTGGTGCCGGCCACCCACCCCCTCGTGTGCCGTGCCGGCCTTCATATGTGCCCGCTAGCAGTCTGTTAAGGGGGATCTTTGTCTTTGTGTATTTGGATCAAGCGGAGCCTGACGCTGCTGATGAGACACTGAATGTGGAAACCGCTCCAGAGTTTGTCTCGTGTCGAACCAGTCCTGCTGAAATGATGCACTCCCAGGATGCCGTGTGGCTGATGGGATGTGTAAAAGTAAATACTTATAGGGGCAGATCTATGTGCATGAGACGGTGTGTCTGTGTTTATTTTGTTGTATCTAACAGTACTCCAGAACGCCGCTGATGAGTATTGCGTGTGAAGTGTCTCGAGACCCTCATTAGACACTGGTGCGGGAAAGGAGACAGACGGATGTATAGGTACCGATGTGGACGGATCGTCAGACAAAGGGACGGACGGCTATACAGGTAGATGGACGGAAAGATAGACAGATGGTCAGACAGGCGGACAGAGAAAACAGACAGACGGAAATAAACAGAACACTAGATGGACTGGCAGATATTGTCGACAAATAGTGCAATAGACAAACGAAGGGGACAGACTGCCCGACAAAGGGCAGACGAGTGAACGGATATACAGCGGGACACACATATCCAGATAGACACAGCCATGCGTACAGACGTCCTAAGACAAAGATCCCCCGTATAGCCCCAACAGACTGTTGGGGCAAGTGCTGTTAGCGAGCACCTATGAATGCCGGCACGGCACACGAGGGGGTGGGTGGCCAACACCACGCCCGGGCGCCTTTGTCTCCCTAATGGCGATGTTTCCACATCCCACCACGTACTCATTTGAGGCTGAGTCGACTTAGGGGAGGCCCAGGCAAGATTCAGATAATCGTCACTGGGTGTTGGCCGCGAGCGGGAATCGAAGTCGGCTCGTCGGGTTCGTAGCGCAGCTCGCTAACCGCTACACTACCGCTCCCCCACGTACATACACACACTGACACACGCGTAGGGATTACACATCATCAACACACACCCACCCAACCACTCCATCATCTATCACTGAAGTACCCCACCGCCTAGCAACCCTACCATCCAACGAACCACCATTACACACTTACCCACTCACCTCCACCCAGCCGCCTCTCACTAATCAACCACACATCACTGCAATCTCTCAACCCACCCGAATCACTCAGCCACCCATCCACCCAACTAACCGCCCTCACACACATTATCCACACCCACCTATCCACCCACCCACCTATCCACCCACCCACCCGGACACCCACCCACCCGGACACCCACCCACTCGGTCACCCACCCGGTCACCCACCCACCCGGTCACCAACCCACCTGGTCACCCACCCGGTCACCCACCCACCCGGTCACCCACCCACCCACCCGGTCACCCACCCACCCACCCGGTCACCCACCCACCCACCCAGTCACCCACCCACCCACCCGGTCACCCACCCACCCACCCGGTCACCCACCCACCTGGTCACCCACCCGGTCACCACCGTCCAATCCAAGTCCGATCCTATCAGATTGTGGGGGCGATTTAGAGGCGGCTTGGTCAGAGGTCAACACGAGGGTGAATCGTGGCCGCGGTCCGTGTTCCGCTCTCCCAGGAGCTATAGGCTCCACGCGTGGCCCACGTGTTGTACAATTCCGAACCTCGCCCACTTGACAAACAAGCTAAAGCCGGAGCTTAGCTTGGGCTCAGACACAAGCGGGGACTTTTGAAAGAGAAGGGAGGCAGTGGGAGGGGTTCAGGGGCACTGGACCAGGTGCCCAGGTGTGACTAAAGTGGTGGACAATGGGCTGTGTACAGGTGAGGGGGATGGGGGGTGGCGAGGTGGGGGATGGTAAGACAAGTCGGGTGAGTGACGCACACCAAAAGACATCGCAATTGGTATTGTAGATATTGTGGGAGTGGAATGCTATCGGTGAGCACCTATTAAGGTTAATATACAACACAGGGGTGGGTGGCCACACTCACTACGCCCGGCCGCCTTTATCTCCCCAGTGGCGATGTCTTACGCATCGCACCAGGTAATAATTTGAGGTTGAGTCGACCTCGGGGCCGGCGCAGGACCGAGTTCAGATATTCGTCACTGTTGTTGGTGGCCGAGAACGCGAATCGAACTCGGGTGGGTGGGTTAACCTGCCGCCTTTCACTCCCTCTGTCTCTCCCCACTCTCTCTCCTCTCTCGCAGTCCAACATCTTCGCTCTTCTCTTACTTAACAGCCCAATAAAACCGGTGCCAAGACGGACATTTCCAGGGCACGGCAAATGTAACCGCTAATGGGGCAAGGAACGCTTCTGAATGAATCCGAGTCCCGACGCCGGCGGCTTGAAGCTCCCCCCCCCCCCCCCCCCCCCCGCCTCCCAACGGCATCCGGACGAGCTCTCGAGATGTGTACACTTCTTGACTTAAAGCTTTCGTGACTGCAGGAATTCATACTGTTGGGGTCTTTCGGTAAAGTCACGCAGATAGGTTCAAAGAAAATAACAAAAAGCTACGACGTTTCGGT